AATAATCACTATTAAGATTCAAAGAGTCAAAAAGTTGTCAACTGGTTTCAAGAACTTAAATTTAAAGAAACTAAATGAATATATTTATATCCCATATTTTCCTCTCTCGCCGTGACGGGGGTCAAGTGAGTTAAACCAATAAATGCAAATTTATAACGATCCATTACGATACCAAGTCACTTACAAAGGAAAAAATAAAAGTAACTTCTAAACAATATTTTTCTTCAATTCAAAGTAACTTCTTTGGTTTTTACGAGTTAATAGCGATAGAAGAAAATATTAAACAATATTCAGATCAAGAAAAGCAGTTCTGAACTGTTATACAATATCGATCTTCCTATATAATAGTGAATGCAAGCCAAAATTGGTAATAAAGAAAAGAATACTGAACTGCTACGTGATATCTGTCCACCTTTACGGCAGCGAATGTTGGACAGTCTCCTCAAAGATAAAGAAGAAATTCGAGACAACAGAGGTTCTACAGCTGTGGTTCTACAGAAGGATGCTAAGAATGCCATGGAGTGAACATGTGAATAACAACGAAGTTTGAAGGAAAATAGAAAGAAAAAGGTGTCGGGGAATAAAAATAAAATAATAAATAAGATATTAATAAAAAAAATAAAGAATTTTATTTTCCCATTATACAAAAAGGAAACCAAAAAGGGTTTCCGGTTACGTGTAAGTTTTATGACCACACTTCTGGAAAAGAGATTATTGTTCTCTTCTCACTTCCCAACCATTGAATTCAAACGTATTTGCTAACCATCCCAACGAGGAAGAGATTCGGTCGACCTCTCTAGATATTTTCGTCGTAGTGAATTGTTTTCTTCTTTGATCAGAGTTGCATTATTTATGCTAAAATTTTAGTCACTCTTGTTACGGTGGGCAACCAACATATTTGATGTATTACTTTGTAAGATGTCTCTTTTGTGATATAATATTTTATTTACATTCATTAAGGCTTTTTTTCTATGCATTTTTGGAGACAATTATTAAAGGTGATCGAGTAAATTCCTACTTCAGGTGTTAGCTTATTCTTTTGTTTTGTTTAGTTGTAGTATCAATAAGTTTTATGATGGATTTAGATAGATTTTTTTTTTCAATTATAGATGTGATAGAGTTAGTTGATAGGACAATATATTTTTATTATTCATTGGGTTTGTGAGGAGGGGCCGTTTTTCTATTTTAGGATATTTTATTAGCTATTTGTTTCGCATTGAATATAAATATATAAATACTCATACGGCATCGCTATCAGAGTCATTGAATCAAACACTTATATATAACGTTAACAGAAATAAAAAAATAATTTCAGTTTTAAATATCAATTAATTTCTAAGAAATTAATTTATTAACGATTCTGGTATGAAAATAAAGTTTGCCTATATAGATTTTCAAATGTCCCAACGAGAGATATACATTCCTTAGAATGGATACTTGATCCTTGTTTTGCTTATGAGGTTTGTTTCACTGAGTAGTCGAATGTGCTCGTCGCTTGAAAGTGGTTAAAATAAGTAAGCGAAATGCAAGTCCGAGATTCTTTTCGAGAGACACATTTTCTTTATATAGAGTTTCGTTTGACCCGATCTGTAGACGTCAATTATACTGTTAAAGGAAAAGGATGTCTACTCAAACACATATATCTAACAAATACCAAATTTGGAGTTCAAATCCAGGGACTTTTGACTTCTTTTGGAGGAATCCCGACTTGATTGACCATATCTTCAGGAGTGTAGCCATACTCCCCACGCTTGGCCAACTGCGTTCTTTAAACCATAGTTGGAGGTTTTGAATCAAGAATTGTTCTTATCCAAGACCGGTTGCCACCCAATGCTATAGGACACGGTCTGCTCTTATATTTACCCATTGCTGGTTAGAGAAGAGTTAGATCTATACCTTTCTTAAGGGTATTTGCACGTAAGTGAATTTAACGAACTCGACTGAAATTCGAACTCGGCTCTCCAATTCTTCAATCCGAGCCGCTTATCCAACGTTTGCAGTAATAAGATTTAATGTCATTTAAAAACAAATTCATTAATTCCTTAGAAATTACACAGAACACCCTAGATTGCCATTTACTTTGAACACTGCATTCATCTTTTTTTTTTCAGCCCCAATAAATAAAAGTTTGTAAGTAGAGCATGAGACCATTTTGGTTGCCTTTCTTCAATCGACTTCTTCCTTTTATGTGCCGTATCCCTTATGGACGTAAGAGATTTTATTACTTTCCACAACTTCGTATACTTTGTAGCGCTAAGCAATGATTATTCCCTTCTGATCCCTTTCATTTACAAAGTCTTGTTAAGTATGTTACTTGCTTTTCCCTCCGGTCTGTTTTGCTTTCGATATGTGCTGAGAGTATCAAATTCTCCAAGCCTTCTTTTCTCATTATGTGCCCCCCCAAAAAAAAATTCAGCTGCCTCTTTCTGATTCAGAGTATATCATTTTTGTTTTCATTTTCCTTAAAACTTTGTCGTTTCTAACATTTTTTGTCCAAGTTATTCTCAGCATCCTTCTGTAGAACCTACATTTCTGTTACCTTTAGTTTCCTTTTTATCAAAGACGTAAAAGTGTTCAGTACTCATTTCCATATAGGAGGATTGGTATTACAGTTCAAGTACTCTTTTTTTGCCTTCTAACGAAATTTTCTTTTATCTTAATATTTTCTTTATTTCTTGGAAGGCATTTTCCCCTATTCCAATGTGCCTTTGGATTTCAGTGTCCCATTTTTCGTCATCTGTTAAAACCATTCCTAGACATATAAATTTCTATATTTCTTGAAATTATCCTGTTAGCTTTGAATGTATAAGCCTCCAAATATTGTAAATTGGGTTTATATCCGATATATATATATATATATATATATATATATATATATATATATATATATATATATATATATATATATAAAAAAAAAAATGCTTTAAACATTAATATTCCATGGTCAATAAAGTATTCCATTGGAATCGTAAATACGATCCAATTCATCAGACCTACAAATTCAAAAAGAAAACAGAAAAAACAACTCCGGGAATAAAAAATAGAATTTAGTGGGAGTGTATATATGATATTGTGGGATAAATGTTAAAGTAAAGTAAAGCTATAGAGAGGGGTAACAGACGAGAGAAGAACAGGAGAAGAACAGGAAGGTCTAAAGATGAAGGTGGGATTAAAATTTAACTGAGAGAAGTTTTAAAGAGGGGAGTCAAAGACGGTTTAAGTGAGAGAAATTCATATTATTATGATCATGGAATATTAGTGTTTAAGCCTTTTTATTATATCCTTACTCTGTCCTGGACATTGAGTTCTACTTGGATTCTATCTTCTTGGAATTTTTATACAAATATATATGTATGTGTATGTATGTATGTATGTATATATATTTATATATTTTAGATATATGATTGCATATGTATGTGTATATTTACCACTAATATTATCAATATCTATATATATATATATATATTTTTTTTTATTGATATTTATGGTTTTAGAATTTTCGTTTTAATATTAAATAATATTATTTTAAACATTTTTATCTTTGTATATTTGCTCCCTTAAGTTATAATTCGATAAGTGGTTAGCATTTATTTAAGTCTGAAATATTTACTGGTTGTGATTTCTCAATGTCTATGCCATTGTCTGTGGATGTATATATGTGTGTATATCGATGTCTATGTGTATGTAGAGTGTATTCACATTTATCTGTGTGTGTATAAGTGTTAGTTTCCACGTCTCCTTTTTTCATAAAGGGCTGTAGAGATGTTCATGTATTCCCCACACCTCTCCTTTTTTTTAGTGTGTGTGTATATTTGTGTATGTGTGTGTGTGTGTGTGTGTGTGTGTGTATGTGTATCTAATTTTGTCTGGATGCTTATGTATTATAATCTGATTGTGTTTTTGTTGTGTCACGCGTGAGTTTAAGACCATATTCACAAACTTTAAAATAAAAACGGAAAAGAAGGGAAAAGAGAAAAAAATATATATACATGTATTATAAAATGACCGGATGTAATGTAACGGTTGGTCTTCTCGAAAGTAATTTCAATGAAGAAATGAATTGAATAAACACATATATATTTTTTCTTTTATCAATAATTTTGTAGTTTTTAAACTTAATAGTGATTAAATTTGGTTTTTAAAAATTGCCAGTTTTTAATTTTAATATTAAATTTTATCATGTAAATTTATAATTATTAGTTAGTATAAATTATTTTTATTATTACACGTATTTAAAGATATGAATAGCTATTAGAGAAGGATTTCGTTGTCAAGCTTTTGAATCTTTCTATACTTCGTTTTTGATTGGTTATTCTAGCTTTTGTAACAATGTTTCCCCCCAGTGTAGGATCGTTAATTAATCTGAAACTTTTAAAACCATTTATTTTCTTTTCAACATCATCACTTGATAAGACACAGAGTGTGTTGAAACAAAATGGCTATTTTTGTAGTGATTTTATAACATACTTATGTTATAATTTTTTTTTTTTTTATAAAAATAATTATATATATATATATATATATATATATATATATATATACATATATTCACAATGGCCTTGTGCCAGGCTAATATACGCTAAGTCAGTCAGTTATGTGTCATGCGTGATACACGTTTAGGCGATCATGTATCTTTCGATACATAACTAAAGAGGCAGATTTTTTTTCCCGCAGTAGGTTGCAATTTCTTTCTGCGGTAGATCAGTTGCCACCCAAGGCTTATAGAACCCGGTCTGTCCTGCTATTTACCCATAGCTAGGCGGGAGAAGGGACTTTTCCCAAGTGTATTAGCACGTAAGTGAATGTAATGGGTTTGAGTGGAATTCGAACTCGGTTCTCCGATTCCTCAATCCGAGTCGCTATCCGCCGTGCCTCAGTAATAGAAAATAAGACTACATAAAATAAAAATTAAATAAAATCATTTAAGAAGGAAAACAGAGAAAAAAACACCAAACAGGCCATCATTATCATGATCACTACCACCAGAATCAGAACAATGGTCAATAATAAGAAGAAAGAAAGAAAGAAAGGACATTTTCCTTGAAATGGTAAATGCTGTTGAAAGAGATTGGCGCTAAAGTGATGACAAGTTGGCGCGTCCTCTTGATGGCCATCTCCCGAGGGAAGGGCACAAGAGCCAACGAAACATCTGTGGATTCTGAGCGACAGTGACACGCACCACCTATCAATTCAGAGTCAGATGGCTTTTTAACGATTTCTCCCGCTGCCATTTTCTGTCGTTGATCTCAGTATGTCGCTGGCGGGAAAGAGAGACACGAAGGAGAATGTACCTTGTGCGGGAAATGGTCAGAGACATATTCAATCCGTTGGGGGTTGGGCGACGAAATTGGTTCTATTGAGATGTGCCTATTTAATAGACAATATCCAACAGCCGCCGGGCTGTGCGAGGAGGCGATGGTTGGCTGTCTTCATTCGAAGGCTATTGCTAGTGAGCTCCATTTTCTCAAGTGGCGGGGAGAAGCAAATATTTGCATACAGGCTTGTGCGTCCTTACTGGTTTGCGCCCGTGCGCACACACACACAGACACACACACGCAAAAAGGTTTATAAATTTGACTATGAACAAACATTTAGTTTCGACCGTCTCTTTCGAAGTAGTCTACTTGTGCGCCTACAAATGTAGTCTTTTTCATCAAAGATTTCTTTGAGTGGCATCCCCGTATGTATATATATATATATATATATATATATTTTCTTTCACCTAGTGCCATGCATGATACACGCATAAGCGATCATGTATCTTTCGATACATGACTGACGGGGCAGATTTTTTCCCGCAGTAGATTGCCATTTATTTCTGCAGTAGACCAGTTGCTATCCAAGGCTATAGAACCCAGTCTGTCCTGCTATTTTTCCCATAAATACATACACACTTACATATACTGAAATATTCTCATGAGTGGACTGAACAAATAGAAAAGAATTCAACAAAAAATCCGAAGTCGATAAGCTGAATGTATATATATATACATATATATATATATATATATATATATATATATATATATATATATATATGTGTGTGTGTGTGTGTGTGTGTGTGTGTGCGCGCGTGTGTGTGTGTGTGTATGTATGTATGTATGTTAACTAAACACAGACCACTTTAAGGTTCCATATAATAAATTATTTCACCACAGACTGCGGATCATCAGACTTTACTTCCAAAGGTTGAAACGAATATATATATATATATATATATATATATATATATATATATATATATATATATATATATGTATAAGTGCGCAGGTATGCAGAAAACACGTAAACCGAGGATAGCTTATTCCTAGAATTTCGCTTGAAGATGAAACGGGACTAAACACCTCAATTCAACTTAATTTTAATAATTATTTGGATGGTTTCGGCTCTCGTTTTTGAAACGTGAGAACTCTTATGTAGCGAAGGAATCATATTTTTAAACAAAAAATATTATATATATATATATATATATATATTTAAATTGTGTGTATTTTTTCATTGATACATGTTTCATTAAATAATATAGACAAGTTTTGTCTATTTATTTTATGTAAATTCTTTTCATATCATCTGATAAACTTAATAACATTATCATTAAAAGATGAAAGAAAATCACCACATTGATATATATTTTTAATCCTATCTAAGCTTTCGGCTTACATAAGCCATTTTCAAAGATGACAATTACATTACAATATATTAACCAATACGCGGACAAAACAATAATGATATTCTTTTTTCTTTTTTTTTTTTGCATGGAAGATTTCCAAGCAACGACAAATCGTGCATACGAGACGCTGAAATGTTCGGAGAGTGAAATAAACTGTGAAAACATTGAGAGGAAGATAGGACAATAAAAGAACAAATTTAAATAAACAGATGATTGCGATTGACGTTGCATTTAAAATGCGTGAGGAAAACTATTAGCTTAGTACTTACGGTTGTATGTAGCAATTTCAACTGTAAAATATGACACCAAGCTGCCGATCTAGTATTGCGTAAAGTCGAAGTTCAAGAGTAAAGTTCATCATAGAAAAGGCACAGCTTCCTTAAGCTAGCTTATGATCGTTCTGGGCGATTGAAGGAACTTGAGACAGGTGACAAAATGCTATGTTCTTATAAATAAAGGTACATTCAGTGGTAGAGCAAAGAAGTGAAAGATAAAAGAATTCACTGTTCGTTACAACCATTTATTTACAATACAATTTGCTGAAGAAGAAATGCTGTCATCGTTACCGTATTTATGTTTTTGGATGCCAAAACTCAATGACTAAGCGAAGAACGGAATACAGAATGGTTATGTTCATACATACTGCAAAGAACACAGAGAAGAGTTCTTAGTTGTGAAAGAAACAAGTTCCATAAGAGTATGGAATTATGAGATTGCCTGAAAGATGGCAGAAAATAGTGAAACAAAATGGTAAATAAATTGTTCAATAAAGTTATTGTCGAAATAGAAATAAACAATTAGTATATGAAAAGATTGATTAGCATATAAGTAAACTTAGATAGATAGATAGATAGATAGATAGATAGATAGATAGATAGATAGAAAAAAAATTTGCTCGCTTAAAAAGCAGGCACACAGTCGTTAATAGGCAGGTATACTGGAGAGACACCGTGGCGTAGTGAATAGCGGATCGTTATTGGAGAGCGGAGTTCGAATTCTAGTCGAATCCATTATATTCACCTACGTGCTAATACCCTTGGAAAAGGTATTAATCCTCTCCTTCTCCCCCCATCTATGGGTAAATAGCAGGACAGACTGGGTTCTATAGCCTTGGATGGCAACTGGTCTAGGAGGAGGACAACTCTGAATTCAAAACCTGCGGAGGGTCGTTTGGGGACCTTGTGGCACTTAGTGCACCAGGTCTCTGTATTCAAAAAGTGTGGTTGGTTCTGTACGAAGCCTTCACGGGTCGGTTCCTAGGAACTGAACTGCTTGACCCTTATACGTCGAAGACGATGGGAGAGTCTACCATACTGGAGAAATTTGCAGACATGAAAGACAGACTAATATAAAAGAGAATGAGACGTAAATGACAAATAGGTGACAGAAGAAGACACACGAAAAGAAGTATACATATATTAGGAAGCAGGCTGAAATAGATAGATAGATAGATAGATAGATAGATAGATAGATAGATTAGAATAAACTGGGATTAGATAGACTTGAACATACTAAGAAAGAAAACTTGGGCGAAAAAGAAAAGAAACAAAAGTTTGACAACGACCAGCATATCTTAAATATTTGATCATTTTTTTTTAATCAAATGACCCCCACATCGTAAAGTTTATAGCAGGCTGCCATTTTAACATAACCGACATCGTTTTCAGCCTCCCGCTGTTAATTTGTTTTGCAGACACTGCCCCTGTTCTATCCGCTATGTGCCGTGTTTATATAAACTGATACTGTAAGCAGATCAAATAGGTGTAGCAAGCTGAGAAAGATAGCAAACACATCGTCATGTCATTAAAGAGTGAATGAAAAGGCCTTGGTTATTTATACTTCCGAAACGAGACAGTTGATCTCTTTGCCCGTATGGACGAAGAATTTTAGCTAAAAGGAAATTGTATATTATCCCAGCTAACGGGGTGGAAGCGAGTTTGTTTATTTATTTGTAAGTTACCTTGGCTAATAACTGTTGCAAATTAAAACGGAATGATTTTAGGAGTTGATCTGGAAAAAACTAAACGAACATAGAATTGTAAACAAACATCATAAGCCTGTTATTTTATTTTAAGAGTGGATCTTCTTTTGTGTGCTATGCCTCTTCAGGGTGTAGGTGATCATGGCTCTCCACTTTCTCCTATCCCTTGTAGTTCTCAATAAGTTTTGTCCTTTTGCTACTTCTCCCAGACCCTGTGCTGCCATCTTAAGCCCGCTAAGGATGTCACACGTTGCTTTCCCTTGTCCCTCTATCCTCCTGTGAGTATCAGATTTTCCAAGCCCTCCTTTCTCATTACGTATCTCAGCCACCCCTTCCTGATGATAAGTATGAGTTTCCTCTTTGTTTGCATCCTCTCCAAAAATTCATCGTTGCTCACGTGTTCGGTCCATGGTATCCTCAGCATCCATCTGTAGAACCATACCTCCGTTGCCTCGAGTCTCTTCTTCATCTTTGAGGAGACCGTCCAACATTCACTGCCGTAAACGAGGACAGATATGACGTAGCAGTTCAGTACCCTTTTCTTGGTTGCGAACGAAATCCTCCTGTCTCGTAATACTCTGCCTAGCTTTTGGAATGCGTCTTTGGCCATCTCAATACGTCTTCGGATCTCAGCATCGGTCTTACCGTCCTCTGTCAGAACACTTCCCAGATATTTAAATTACCGCACCTGCTTGATTTTACCGTCCGCGACCTGTAAATCGCATTTCAGGCTCATCTTTTTGCTGATGACAATGCATTCTGTCATCTTGTAATTTATGCTTATTCCTTTCTTCTCGCTCTCTTTCGCTACTTTCTGTAGGAGGTTTTGTAGTTTACTTTCCGTGTCTGCTATCAGCACTACGTTATCTTACGTAATTCAGATTGTGGCTGCTAATAATGAACCTGGTAGGATTTCTAATTCTCTCAGAGTTGCCTCGCTGTATAGGTGAGAAGACACACCTTTGCATTACGCCCCTTTTCTATCTTGTGCTGAAATTATTTTCTATCTTTATGCAGGCGATTTGCTACCAATATATGTTTTTAATTATTCTAATGTCTTTCCCGAATATGTAAAGGCTGCTGAGCAAGTCATCTATAAAGCACAAGTGCACGTCCTTCTGCATTTGTATTGCTCTTTCTGATAACATTCTGAGCATGAATATCGCGTTCCTTGTTCCAGTAGCTTTAACGAACCCGCACCGTTCTTATCCTGTCTCTGGTCTAATTCTGCTGCGCGCTCGATTCATCAGAATACGGATGATGTTCGGTGGAGTTCACATTCGTTTGCGACTGGTTCCTTAGGCAGTGCTTTGAAAATAGATCTGCTGAGATCTTCCGGTATATCCCCACTGTTGTAGATTTAATTTATTATTTCCGTTATCTTGTCTATGCCAAAATCATCTGAGGCTATCAGCATTTTTGTTACAATTCCGTCTGGCCCTGCCGCCTTGTTTCTGTTCAGTTCGACCAGTGCCGCTTCTATTTCGGATTTTAAAATTTCAGGCCCGTCGTTAGTTCTGTGTATTGCTCTTCCGGAAAGTCTCAGTTATTTCCCTCTAACTCACCAAGTTTCTTTGGTAAACCACTGCTGTAGCCTGGTACTGAACTCACAACTCTTTCCATATTTTGGCAGTGTTTTCTGTCTACTTTACATCATGTCGAGAGCCTCACCAGTAATCCATTCGATTTTCTTCTTCTTTTGGAATTATACCGTTTGCTGATGTCACAAAAGCTTTCTTTTAATATGTCCCATTTCGAGTTTCTATTTCCATTGTGTTCCTCGTATCTTCTTTTCACACTGTCTATATATTTTTCTTTCAGGTTCGGGTCGCTCAGGAGTTTGTTGTATTGTAATTTGGGTGATGCGCTAGGTTTCATCAATTTCCGTAGTTTCACTCTTAGTTTACACATAAGAGGGCGATGGTCGCTTCTGTAGTCTGCACTTGGGTAGATTTTGCATTCCTGAATCTTTTGTTGATAGTTTTATGATAGTGGTCATGAAAGAAGAAATATTTTTGATTAAGTGATTAGAAGAGCAATGGAAAATAATTAAAAATCTAACGACAAGTAAACTTTTTAGTGAGAAGATATGCGGCAAACACAACTTTAGAGACAAGTATAGAAATATGTTTATAAGTTGTATATTTTACATACGGGATTTGATCAATGTCCGAACAGACTTCGATTTGAAATTTCCACTATAAAATGTATGCAATAGAGTAACACTTTAAAGTGACGTACGTTGGCAAAAGAAGACTATATTATGATGACACTTATCGTTTAAATCTCTGCACACACACACACACACACACACACACACACACACACACACACACACACACACACACATATATATATATATATATATATATATATACATGGTCTGACGATAACGTTTAAGCATGAAACAGACTGTCGCTGTGTGTTGACCTCAATGTCCACTTTTATATTTACATACTCAGGTATAGAGCGTATGTAAACATAAAATATAAAAGTGGACACTGGGATAAAAACACAGCGTCGACTGTCGGTTTCATGGTTAAACACACTCTTCAGTAGCCTGAAAGTTGTGTTTAAACATGAAACAGACTGTGCCAAGTTATATGTATATATATATATATATATATATATATATATATATATATTTTTGCGCTTTATCCCCGATACTAAGAACTCTTCCCACAAATATATAGTACATTTATAATTACACACACACATACACACACACACACACATATATATGTGTGTGTGTGTGTGTGTGTGTGTGTGTGTGTGTGTGTGTGTGTGTGTGTGTGTGTGTGCGTACTACCTACCAAAAAGTAGATGACAGCAAGATCACACTCATCGGCCGAACATTTTGAGTGGGAGTTGTTGGCGTGGAAGCCAAAGGTGGGGTGGGAGTAAAAATGTTTCGTGCAAAAGCATTTATGTGAATTCTAACATAATTCTAAGTTGACGGTAACAGTAACTGGTTCCCAGATTTGAAAAAAAAAATATAAAGATCATTCTTTTTCAATAATCATTTTTTCTTTCTTGCCAAATTTGTACAATGGAATGTCACATAATAGCAAGCGTTAGAAATATCTTCGATGAATGGTTTATGTTCTAAATGTAGCAGACTAAAATTAACACCTGTCTATATTTCTGAGATTAGGTATTGTAACTATTTACACGATTTACATTGTTAGGTCTGTTTTTTTTTTTCATGTTTATTGTCACATTCGCGACGTTTCGGTCGATGTACGTTCCGGCCTTCTTCAGGTGATATTTGTTGGAATTTCGAAGCGGACATTTTATTTATTTTGTTCTCTCTGGTATTGAACTCACAATTCACATTTTAGGATCAACCAACCAACGCTTTTATCCATTGGTTCCAGAGTTGAAGAAGCCAGTGCATACAACGGCCGAATCGTCGGGAATGTGGCAATAATAAAGATGAAGACAACAATTCGAACAATGTAAATAGTATAAACAGGTTAAAATTAGTTCCCAACATTCTGGCACGGAGAGTAAATGATTTTCTGGCGAGGAGCCGGAGGAATTTATAGGGAAAGCGTAACTTATAAGAGCAGTATTTTAAGGAGTGGTGTATACAAAGAATATTATACAATTATGTATTTCTAAAACCAATTTTCGCTAACACTATTTCAAAGTCATGGTTTGCATAATTGTGGAAGCAGTTTCCGAATATCTAATTTATATCTGGCAAGGTCATTATATGCTTTCATGCCTGCCAATGCGCTTAAGTAATAATGATTTATCCAGTTGTTTTATAAGCAAAAATGCCACGACAAAAACCTGCTTCTGTGTTTACGATTAACTAACCTCGTGTGGGTAGCAAAAGAGGAATGGCTTTGAGAACGAAAGAAAATAGACAGCACACGTGGAAAGAATAAATGGCTAAGGTGTTAAAATAACAGATTCATTCCACATATGCCATTTACTGATAGTGACGTAGAAGAAAAACAGAAAGTGAAGTAGAAAAGGAAAAGCGAAAAAGACAAATTCTAAAAATGGGAAGCACTGAGGAAGAAAGGAGGTTAGAAAAGCGGAAATGAAGAAGAAGAAGAAGAAGAAGAAGAAGAAGAAGAAGAAGAAGAAGAATAGGCCAGAAACAGAGGGTAAATGAAGTAAGATAAGAAAAGAAAGTAAAAAAGGAGTGACAAACAACTGGGGAACATGCGTAAAAAAAATGGAGGCGATAAAGGAAATGAAGATTGAATGATAAAATGAATTAAAATGTACAAGTTAAATGAAAAGTCCGAAAAAGAAATAGAAAAAGAAAAGGAAACATGCAATAATCAGAAATATTAGAAACACGAAAAATATCAGTTGTTGCACAGATGGTTTTATCTGCGTTTACAATTAAGTAAAATAGCGACCCAGTTTCACTCAAAATTATTTGCCACAAAGAGGAAAGAAAGAAGGGGAGATAACCATTATATTTCTTCATCGTTTTTATTGTAAAAGTCTTCTTTTTCGTTTTTTTTTTGTATGCCAAATACTTTCAAATTGTGAGCGAACATAGCTCTTCACAGCTTCCTACCTTTTTTTCATCCCTGTTTGTCTCAGTTCAGCCATCCATTCATGCAAAATCGTTAAGTAACTCACTCTCTTTCTTTCAATATGCCTTGTGAGTTTTAAACTCACTAGGGCTTTCTTAATTTCCTTATATATATATGAGGAAATTAATATATATGAGGAAATATATATATATATATATATATATATATATATATATATATATATATATATATCATGTCTTAAACTCTTTAAAACTTTCTTAATTTCCTCATATATATATATATATATATATATATATATATATATATATATATATATATATACATACATATATATAAGTTTCATTAAAAACGATTGACATATATATTTATATATTTTTCATGTGTTCTTATGTTTTTTTCTTTTCACAACATAATTTATATAAAAATTGTACATTTTTTTTGTATATGCGAGCGCTTTGATCTCTATTTATAACTATTGTTAAGGATGAATTATATTTTTACTTTTAACTGAATATATGGATTGTTTTATATATGTATCTAGAGTTATAGGAATTTAGGGTCCAAACATAGTAAATATATTTCTTAAATAAAAAAAATAATTAAATTTAGAAAATAAATGCAATAACACTGACTGTCACGTGAAGACGCAATATTTTCAAAACCGACGTGAAGACGCGATTTTTTAAAACTGAAGAAACTGACATCGCCCAAGAACAAAAACAAACACCAAAAGACTTTGAGCAATTTGTATTTGTACTTTCCCAGGAAATCAGAAAAATGGTTTGAAATATAGTAAAGGTAAACAAATGATCTTTTTCAATAAAATTTCCTTGCTCTTTAACGAATGTATATGGAAAAAATATTGCTGCCGGAAACACACGCTTATGGCAACAATCAGTAGATCTGTCAATCTTTGAGATTTGAACAAAAACGTTAAAGCAAATGCTTTCTTTCATAACTATGCCTTCTTGTTACACACACAAATATATTTTATATATACATATCATATATTTTATATAATATCTATAATATATTTAAGTAGCAATGCTTTCGTTCAGCCCCGAATATCAGAGGGAATATCTGTAAAAACCTTTTAATGAATTTCTCCTGGCGTCGAATAATTCGCATTACTTTTAAATGTTATTTTAGTGAGTACACGTGTTTATGTTGCTATTTTGTTAAAAAAAAAAAAAAGAAAAAGAAAAAACAGATGTAGCAACGCAAACACGTGTACCATTTAAAAATAAGGTTTAGAATAATAAATAATCTCTGATTAAATAAAACTGTTTAACAAATAAATTAAAACAGCGCGTCTACTCAAATACGGGCATCCATTAAAAATAATGGTTAGACAAATAAATCAAAATATGTCGGATCAATAATGAAAAATCCATTCCTAAAAAACGAAAACTAAAAACGAAAAGACTAATATATATATATATATTGTGTGTGTGTGTGTGTGTGTGTGTGTGTGTGTGTGTGTGTGTGTGTGTGTGTGTGTGTGTGTGTGTGTGTAAGATAAAGAACAAATAGAAAACGCTTATTAATAAAAAGGCTTTTTTTATTAACTTGTTTCACTGTTACTGAAGCTTTTATAAGAGAATGATATATGGAGGAAAAAAGAAAAAAGATTCTGATATTTTCATTTTTGTGTTGTTTGATTTTCATTCACAAACACTTATAGATATAGATTATCATTTGCATCCCATACAGACAAATTAAAATTATTATAAAGTAATATTTACAATTTTTCAGTTACGTTTGGAATCCGTTAATTTCTTGGTAATTCAAATGGACGCGTCGTCTCTTCTTGAATTCGGAACGCCATAAATTATACTAACGTTTGTTTAACAAGTCGAATGCATATGAAACATGATTAACCAATGAAAATCAAAACAACACAAAAGTAAAGATACCAGAATTTCTTTCTTCTTTTTCTCCATATCTAATTCTCTGGTGAAGTTTTAATAAAAGTAAAATATGTTAGATTGATAAATGTTTCTTATTTGTTCTTTATCTTATCATGAAAGAAATTCTTATAAAATAATCATTGACATGAAATAAGCAATCGTTTTTATTAATGAAATATTGGTTATTTATTGGCTGCTTTTAGGAGATTTCTTACGTTCTTGACATTTAAAAATTGTTTGATGGGGAAACTTTTTGTGTGTATCAGTGACCAAGAATATTTGTACCTTTGCACTTATATTTAGTCAGTAAATCTCACTGATAGGCGTGATGCTTTACCTTTGATGTTTTCAGTTGGTTCGTCATGGTTTCGTCAACAAAATTGGATTGTATCAAGAATTTATTCCTGCAGCCATTATCCCTTAAACTTACACGAAACATATATTTTGATCTCTCTCTCTCTCTATATATATATATATATATATATATATATATGAAGAAAATATCTGGAAAAACAAAACAAAAATCCTTAAAATACGATTATGTTGTTTTAATATGAATGAAATGTCGACGTCTGACGTTTCGGTTTAATAACCTTCTTCAGGACAATATTCATTAAAAATACAATTAACATAATCAATATAACACGACGAAAACGATGGACATAAAAACAAGTCTTATCCAAAACAGATAAATGAAAATATTTGCGTATATATATATATATATATATATATATATATATATATATATATATATATATATGGTATATACGTAAAAATGTTCCCAAATCAACATGTAAAAAAACTATCAAACATGTCTACTACACACACGCACACACACGCACACACACGCATACTTACGAATGTACATCATCATTTGAATCCCATATAGACAAATTAAAATTATTATACACTTACATTCATAAAGCAATATTTACAATTTTTTCTGTTAGACTTGTAATCTGTTCATTTCTTGGAACTTCAAAGGTACGCGTCCTCTCTCCTTGAATTAGGAACGCCACAAATTATAATAACGTTTGTTTAACAAGTCGAATGCATGCGAAACATGATTAACCAATGAAAATCAAACAACACAAAAGTAAGAATACCAAAGTCACTTTCTTCTTTTTCTCCATATCTCATTCTCTGATTAAGGTTCAGTAAAAATGAAACATGTTAGATTGATAAAGGTTTCCTATTTATTCTTTATCCTATCCTTCTGTGGGATTCCGATCCATATTTCATCTGTATTTCATCCTAACGCATATATATATATATATATATATATATATATATATATATAGAGAGAGAGAGAGAGAGAGAGAGAGAGGGAGAGAGAGAGAGAGAGAAAGAGAGAGAGAGACAGCAGTCATTTCGTTTAACCCTGATATATTGAATAGAACGGGTAGGAAAAGACTGTTAAACTTTTTATTGAATTCCTGCCGGTGTCGAATAATTCGTTTGATGTCAGGTGGAAATTTGTAAAGGAACATGACATGCCGAAATTATGAGTTATACGCCGAGTACTTTCAATAATGGTTGGTGATTTTCAAGAAAAGAATTTAGAAGTCGAGAGATTAACGGAGAGTGTTTAAATCGTTAATGGTCCGGAGTCTGAAATGAAAGTGGGCTCACATGTTATAATGGTGGAATAGTTTTTAGCCTCACATGGACAAAAATAAATTTCCATACATGCGCAGCATAATTGAAACAATCTTTATTGATATTGGGTTGGCGACTTTTAATGGGAAATCCTCCAAAATAGAGTATTTTATATTGAAGTTTCTATCTCAAGCTGCTTTATCTTATAAAGTAGAAACAGTATTAAAAAAAAGATAACGGAAATATATCAATGTAAAAAATGAAAGCAAAGAAAACTAGCAGTAAAATGTCATTAATGTGGTTCAGTGGTGATATTTGAAGTCATCGTATTAATAATGGTTGGTAAGTATTAAAACTAGTTGCTGTGGTAAAGTTAATGGTGACGTTTACTATTTTACTTAGACTAGATTAAATAGTTTCGGTATCTTTTACAGATGTTACTTGCAATGCAAAATAGGTACTTATCTCACAATAAACATGGCTGCATGCCTGTTGCCAGCGTGAATGAAATCTGTCAATATCTGAAACTTGCGGAAGTATTTGATAATTGGCTTGATTTTAAATAAATCCGCGCGCAGCAAGAGAGGCGACAAATAGATAGATAAAGAGACAGAATGAAAGAGAGAGAGATAAACAGGCTAATGTAGATAGATAGATAGATAGATAGATAGATAGATAGATAGATAGATAGATAGATAGATATGAGCAGACAGAGATAGATAGATAGATAGATAGATAGATAGATAGATAGATAGATAGATAGATAGATAGATAGATAGATTGTGAGAGAGATGAACAGACTAAGATAGGTATATGTGAACAGACTGGAATAGAGAAATATCGTATGTGTGTGTGAGAGAGAGAGAGAGCGAGAGAGAGGCGAGGGAAGATGAACGAAGAAAGATCGATAAAAAGAGAGAGAGAGAGAGATGAACAGACAGTAAAATAGGAAGAGATATATGAAAAGACTAAGATATAGAAAGAGAGAAAAATAGATAAACAAATATGAACAGACTGAGATAGATAGATAGATAGATAGATAGATAGATAGATAGATAGATAGATAGATAGATAAAATAGAACGTGCAGACAGCTACAAACCTCCGAAGAGATAAGATCAAGGTTGGATAGAAGCAGACAAGAAACGGGGTGACCAGTCTGACTAGATACAGATTTCAACCAACTGCAATAGAAACAAAGGAAAAGAAAGGAAAGGAAGGAGAGACACTAAAATCTCAAGTAAGATACAGACTTCAAGAAACGGCAGATATTCAAACCAATTCTGTACTGAAGATTTTACAAGTGCAGAATTATACTGACTGTTGATCCTGTGAGAAGACTGTATTTTACCAATCTTCCGATGTGGACGACTTGACTACAGATCAATAAATACATCTGAAAGGCGCCCGCTGTAGAGCACAGTACAGCAAGTTAATTACATAAGCCTTTGGTTGCCACTTGAAAGTTGATTACCTGTTTTATATTTTTGGCTCTGTCCCAGACTAAGCTAAACCAAATACATATCCATATATCCGTACGAAAAGATTAAAACAGTAAAAAAGCTGTCTATGTATTATGGCACCAAAATGTCCAATTCGTAGAAAACAAAAAGAAAAACCAGAACCTAGAATGTCAATATGGACATTAATTCAAGTATTCATCTTTATGCACGACAACACTGGTCAACATTGATTGCACTAACGCCACCTCAATCTGTTGTTCTGAACATGGACTTATTTATGTGCAAATACTTGCAAATAGGCGAAGTATATCTGGACGCCATTTTATATTTATAAATACATCCATTCTTATATATATATGAGATAATTGCTGGTCAAATTCCGTAGTGTAACGTGAGATCATGCATCACTAGGTCGAATCTTTTTCTTTTTCTACTAATATTTACAAATGTACTTGGACGCGCATAGCAGCACGGAATAGTTAATAAATAAATAAGTTCTGTTATGGGATCTAGCGGTCCGTCCGAACCCATATTTTAAATGCTGTATGAAGATAGATGTAGAAAAAATAGTTTGTTGATATCTATCTGTTAATGTTCAAACAATGGCATGGCGGCGTTTGCGCTTGTCAAAGCAATTTATTGTAAGTGTAAAGGAATATCAGTTTTAACGACCTTCCTGATTTCACCAGTTTTCTATTCAGTATCAATGCTGATCACACAACTATAAGCGTAACTTAGACGTGACACATAGTTGAAAGGATCGAACTCACTATTTAATTGATCCAGCGAGACGAGCTTGTTAACCATTACACCACGTCGAAGCGCCCACTGTATGTTTATAGTGATTTTCTGAGTTCAATTTAGATGTGGCACAAAGCTAAAAGTATGGGGCACCCAGTGTGGATTGAACTCACTATTCAGTTTAATTGATCTAGCTAGACAATCTTATTAACCATTACACCACGTCGAAGTCCCTACGTATCTTTATGGTGATTTTCTAAATGTAGTTTAGATGTGGCACAAGGCTGAATGTATGGGCCACCTAGTGAGGATCGAACTCACTATTCAGTTGTAATTGATCTAGGCAGACAATTTTGTTATTCATTACACCACGTCGAATTGTCCCACGTATGTTTATGATGATTTTATAAGTGTAGTTTAGGTGTGGCACAAGGCCAAAAATATGGGGCAGCCAGTGAGAATCTAACTCACTATTCAGTCGAAATTGATTTAGCAAGAGAAGCTTCCTAACCATTACACCACGCCGAAGTCCCTACGTATCTTATTTTAAAAGTGTGGTTTAGATGTGGCACAAGGCAGAATGTATGGGCCACCTAGTGAGGATCAAACTCAATATTCAGTTGTAACTGATCTAACCAGACCATCTTGTTAAACATTACACCACGTCGAAGTCTCCCAACTATGTTTATGATGATTTTATAAGTGTAGTATAGATGTGGCACAAAGCCGAAAGTATGGTGCAGCCAGTGAGGATCGAACTCACTATTCAGTCGTAATTGATCTAACGAGACAATCTTGCTAACCATTACACCACGTCGAAATGTTCTGATCACGTAACTATATACTTCTGTCTTAATGGTAATGGTAAGTTTAATCAGTTCAAGTCAAATTGGCAGCTCAAAATATAAGTACAATATGCAGCAAGAAATGGCTTATTAATTTTAACACCTCCAAAAAATATTCTCTTTCTGAAACATTTTTGCCTTCCATCAGAATGGCTGATGCTAACCTTCTTGTAACCTCTTGGTCTAACGTTTTCTGCTGACATGAAGTAAAAATATTATATGGAAACAACTTCTAGATCTGCTACAAGCAAATGTTTCGTGCTTAGACAATTTTTACTGCCATAATCTATCGTACACATTTATAAGTCTACCATTCTCCCAGATGTTTGCAGAAGAAATATAAAATTGATGAGTACACTTCTAGAAGTTATAGAAGTACAAGTAGTTAGTAGATTTTTTTAATCCTACATTATCTCATAACTACAAATGTTATAATTAGTGTGTACACGTGCCTGAGTAGACGGCCTGTTAGTTATAAACTGAAAATAATGTCAACCAGCCAAGAAACTGACAAGCCCCAGGAAAGTTCTATTTACATTTCCATAAGAGAAATCGCTATGTATTTTAGTGTTTTTTTTTTTTTTTTTAGATATTAAACATTTTATGGGATGGACAGGTTTTCATTATAACTTGTTCTGTTAAGCTAAGTTAAATATATACTTATATTTTTCTATTGTTTTACATTATAAATTGTTCTCAGTTTTCTGGTTAAAATCTGCATATATATATATATATATATATATATATATATAGAGAGAGAGAGAGAGAGAGAGAGAGATAGATAGATAAGGGTATCTCCAAACATTTTCGTCTTTTCTCTTTTGATCGTCCTAAAACGTCACATGAAACGCGTCATACGCGTCACACGAAAGGAAATGTATCACACAAAAGGAAAGCTTTCTTCCACTTTGTTATACATCTCCCAATATATATATATATATATATATATATATATATATATATATATATATATATATATAACTGGGGAAGAAGAGATGGAGCCATAACATTCCCAATATTATCTGTGCGAAAATAAACGTAACAACCGCGGTCGAAAGTTAAATTCGCAATGGCGCTTTCATTTTTACTTTAGAGAGAGGGTGGGGGAGAGCGGAGAGAGAGGAGGGAGAGAGAGAGAGGTGAGAAAGCGATGAGGGAAAGGAAGAAAGAGGAAATAGAGAGTAGAGATAGATGGTATGGACACAGAATGTAACAATGTATAGTTTAGATGTGCTACTACTCAGAGCTCATTTTTCAAATGCATGCACGAAAACAAATTTCTACTATGCTACCTACAACCGAAACAAAATAACCGAGAAGAGCTAGTTTCTTCCCTCTCCCGTTCCCCTTAAATTCCCAGTGACCTATAAAGAGAGCCCATTTAATGTGTAGTGGGACTTAGTCTGAAGATCGCATTAAAAGCATGAAAGTAACAGTCGATATACAATGTTTATTCCTATGCCTACACTATATCTATAAATCCTTTTTCTTCGATAGCAAATTATATATGACGGATATAACAGCAAACCTGTCCATCCCATAAAATGTTTAATATCTAAAAAAAAAACACTAAAATAATTGAGTTTCTTTTTTTCCAGGTTTTCGTATGAAATGTTTAGCCATCTTGACACCATTTTTGTAAGAATCACTGAAAAAACCCTTCAGTTATTGAGCTAAAAAAAAAAGAACAGGTTAAAATTGTTTCATGTAAGACCCGCTGCCTTTCCAAATGAACAATGGCGAGAGGAAAAAGCTCATTCAGGCCTTCAGTAATGGTACCAACATTCATAATCTGGCTTCCATCTTCAAAGTCTATTCAAGAACCATCAAGAAAAAGGTGAATAAGTTTAAAAAAGAGGGAAGAGTAGAGAGGAAAACTGGATGAGGAGGTCACAACAGGAAGGGGGATCATCATTTCAAATTAGAGATAAAGAGATCAATTAGAAAAGATCCAACTCAGTCCATAAGACTTTTTGCGCGTGATATGTTATTCCAGGATGATACTAGTGTTTGACCCTTTATATATATATATATATATATATATATATATATATATATATATATATATATATATATATATATATATATGAACTTTATTTCAATCTTTCATGAGCTTCTGATTCTTAGCTTAATGATGAACATGTCATTTTCGTTTATGATCGATTTCATCACGATTCTTCTGTTAAGCTTAACGAGTAATTATACATTCTTATTGCTCAAAGTAGAGTCCTATAGTGTTATAAAAACCTTGGAGAATTCCAGTAAGATATCTTTAATCATTTCTAAGATACAACGCTTCAGAGCTTAATGTAACATTTGGACAATTTTACTGTAACACGATTTCGACAATTTTTGCTGTTACACGCGGTATGGATAGATAGATAGATAGATAGATAGATAGATAGATAGATAGATAGATAGATAGATATGAACTCATTGTCATTACTTTTTTAATCATATACTCTTGTGCATTACAGAGAATGAGAGAGTAAAAATAGACAGTGGCAGATAGAGAGAGAGAGAGAGAGAGAGAGAGAGAGAGAGAATGATGTGATATCTTCGTATAGCTACCACAGTTTAGTAAGTAACAAGCAAGAGCGTAGTGCTTGGTCCTTACTGTGTGTCCTACTACTGTGAGCAAGTACCAGAATAGGCTTAATCCTGATTGTAACAGTTTGTTTGATAATGGAACATTCTCATCATGTATTTAACTACATATATAAATATGATCCAGCAACTTTTCTTCCACTTAGAAGTCACTCATTAATACAACATAACTAAGCCGGTACAAATGATTTTGAAAATGTTAGTTAAGGTTATATAGAAAAACATTGCCAACAACTAATATTTTTTTATCTATTCAAAATATTAACACTTCAACACATTATACTGAGCTATTCAAAACTCATTTCGTTTATTAAATAAAAATAAAAGGCCTTTTATTATTTTTGACATTTTTGACAACTCGTTTTGAACAACATGTTCCAATATGTTCAAGCATCTTTTTGTAATTTTGTAAATGCTAGATTAAATGGTAATGTTGAAGGAGCAATTTCTGGTAAATATTACGGCCCCTTCCTTAATATCAAGAAACTTGACAATAGGAAAGGATCAGTATAAAAATAGACACAATATGTATATTATTCAATAAAACATGTTTGAATGAAAAATATGCTGCCTAAATGTTGTAATCTCTTCGTATAATCCAAGTGAATCCTATTAACATAATATGAAATTTTAAACATTAAATATTAAATGTTAAAACTGAATCCCCAAAGAGCGCCAAATGTTTCTTTTTTAAACAGAGCAAAATATTAGTTAGTTAATGATCATTTTCACCAGTCAATTTTAAATTTAAACTTCACAGGATACTTCAAACTGTCAATGGTAGTAGAATATTACAATAGAAATGGCTAGAAGGGGAAAGACGGAAAGAGAGAGAAAGAAAAGGAAAAAAACCGGGGGAGGTAGCAAGAAGAGACTGGAAGTAAAGTGTAATATGAGAGATGGTCAGCGGGGGAAAGAAGGTGAAAAGGCAGGAGAGAGGGAAGGTGGTGAGGGTCTCAGGAGGTAATGTAAGACATGGTATCGTAGCGGTCAAAGGGGAAGTGGAGAACAACAGGGAAGAATGTATATATATATATATATATATATATATATATATATATATATATATATATATATATATAAGTTAATTGGTAATCCGTGAGGCATTATTATGATGAAATTGCTACAATTCTGTTATCTATAAGGTATCATGGGCACGTGGTCGAGTGCTTATAACGTACTCATTCTGACCATGACACCCGGGTTCGATTTGTCGGGAAGAAGACTTCCTGATGTTATCGGACTGGAGGCCGATCCCAGTGTGCGGCACCTTTGGAAAGTGACTGAAAACCATGCTACAGGTTGACCCGTGAATGAAATTGGGTAGACGGAACCCTTGGATGCCGTTGATAACTGTGCTAGCACGAAGTCACAAGTCATCGTGGCCGAGGGCTTCAACGTGCTGTTCAAATTGTTAATCACGTTAGATAGCACGCTCTTTCCCAGAAACTGTAACTAAGATCTGCTCAGCATTGTTACAGTGTAAACCACAGGTGGGTTCTGTTGAATAAACGCAAATGCGCCTAAGTAAGCGTCTGCACTAGGGATTAGCTAGCTGCCCTAGTAGACGGATATCCATAGCTAGGAGTTAAAAGACTATACTATCTACCTTTGGCTGGTAACTTGTTTAGGAGAACGATAACCCTGAAGTCAGTTGCTATCAACTCCATCCTGAAAAAAACCTATCAGTAGCAACACCAGCGTGGTGATATTATAGCCTTATTCTCTACAGGGGAGTCAACAGGGTTAATATATCTCTTATTGAATATAATGCCCGACTCACGCTAAATTGGTCTAGACGTGGGAATACTTGTTTATTAGAAGTAAACCTTTGTTATCCGAAAGAAACCCCTTTCCAATCTCATCAAATACATAGTATCACCTTTGGACGAAAAACAGGTGTTGATATGTTTACTATTGGTTCATTTCACTTGCCTTCGGCATTGTTTTAACATACCGGGTTTTCATCGCCAGTGTCAATTTGAAAAAAGTAAAAGGAAAAAAAATAACAGAACATTTTCATTATATTTAAGTACTGAATCTCATACGCTCAAGTATTTTTTAAAACTTATGGCAGGCGTCATACAAATATTTTCTAATTCCTGATATGTGTGTTTTTAGAACTCCTGCAATCGCATAAGGATTATTATTTTCTTGATTAGATTGATATTATTGATTGATTCGTTTTTATGGCTTATCAATCTTTTGTAGGTTATTTAAAGCCAGAAAATATTTTTAGATTGTAAGAATTTTTTGTAGCTAATAATGATTTAGTGATTTAGTCTTATTAATTAACCTATAGCTAGGGGAGGAGAGGTGGTTTTATGCCTTTCCCAAAGGTATTTACCTGTAAATGTATATATTGAACCCAAAGGGAATTGGAAACCGGGTCTACGTTTAACAATTCCGGGCTCTTATCCATTACCCACACATCCATGCTTACCTGGTATTCCTAAGTGGTTTCCCATCTTGGTAATGACGAGGCTCGACGGTACTGAACATCAGTGATCGTACGGGAACTAGTGTTTCAACGTGATATGGCCGTAAGGCTTTGATCGATATCATACTCTACTGATCGTTCCGACAATTGTCATTTTCCAGCTGAAAACATCTCCATGAACTGCACAAATCTCTTTGTTTACCGTAAAACGTACTAAAAAATTGCCAATCTTTTTTTCTGCAATAAACAAAAATACAACAGTTTTTAAAAAACACACAGCTATATGATAATTTGGCACAGAAAAACGATCATTTGGAATTATAGGGAATTTCCAAGCGTAGCTTGGATGTGGAACAAGGCCGAAAGTAAAAGGCACCCAGTGAGGATTGAACTCACTAGTAATTGTCCTAGAGAGACATGCTTGCTAACCATTACACCACCTCGAGATGCCCATCTTTTGGAATTATATCAGCCAAAACTAAACCCTCCTAATGCTATCTAACGACAAATACAAAACGATAAGTTTAGTCAAATCAATATCTTACTGATTCGCATATACGCACCCATTAAGACGAATTTCACAACTGACATATCGAAAAATAAATCCTTGCCACACCAAGATGTCGACTGGATACATCTACAGTATTTTCTTTATTGACATGAAAAGCGAACCAATATCGCGTTCTGGATGGTTTGCAACTTTAGCTACCACGTCGAGCGAAAAGGAGTGGTGACCAAACGTTGGAACCCCCTCGGGGTATGCGGCCATTAATCAACACGAAAGTCAATCTATCAATCAATCTGTCTATCCTTTGGAAAAATGTTCGAATCCATTAACGTGCTCGCGCAAGGAAATTATTGCCGGCATAAAGCTGCAGGGCAGGATCCGAATGTTTGGTACCAGACTTGCGCGACACGACCCTATTAGGTAATAGAAAATTCTGGGTGCGCCGTGCGTCACCTCACTCCTCCGTCCGACACCACTTTCTCCCCAAAATCGAATGCTCAGAGTTCTTCGTTCAGAATGGTGAATAATCCACCCCTGCCTTTTTGGTACCAAGTCTGATTGACTCGTAGATGTCGCATAAACTGTGTGAGAAACGAATAAGACCAGGGGTCTGCGAAGATAGTGTTAAGAAGGTAATAAACTCGTTGCTCGAACGTGCCTTCCAGCGCCGTTAGACGATTTTTTTCCTGTCTTAATTTTATTTTATGTAACGGTTTTTCTCTCCAGCTGATCCGAGTGAATAAGTGTGCCTTATTTACAATAACTAGCGAATCATCTTTTGAAAAGAAAAAAAAGGGAACGGCAATTCAGAAGATTCTATGAATAACCACTGAAAATATTAATAAATTCCTTTTTATTTCTTTTATTAATTCCTTATCGAACAACGACTAATACTGTGCCTTTTAAAAGTTATTGCTTGAAGCAAATTTGAACTCGGCACATCAGTCTCACTTTAGACCTGAGAAGATTGGTGTGTTGAGTTCAAATTCCAGCCGAAGTAGTCGCTTCGAACAAATATCATTAGATACTTATTTCTCCAAGTTTTTGTTCACCGCTGCAGTAGCCGGGTATTGAACTCACAACTCTTTCGGTCAAATCACTGGATCTAACGTTTTTATCCACTGGGACATGTGTTCATGATGAGAAAAAATCTTGGATAATTGAGTTAGAGAGAGATTGGCACGTAGAACTAGAACAATCTCTTCTGGTGGACGAAATAAAGGGTTCGTTTCGAAATTCCAATCACCTGCAGAAGGCCGGAGCGTACAACGGCCGAAACGTTGTGAATATAGCAACAAAGATGAGGACAACAGTTTTTGTTGTTATTAAAATTCTAAACATATTTTTTTTAAAACAATAGACATTGCTGAGGGAGTCAAGAGAGTATACAGCAATAGTTTTGTCAAGAGAAAAATCGTCCTTTTGACCATCTCTTTTTTACGTTAAACTTTGACGACATTTTAAACAAGGTCAATTTTTTTTTCATTTTTTTATCGATTTGTTTTTTACAACTTATCAACAATGTTCAGGCTATTTAAAGTCAGAATAGAAATTGTTTTGTTTTTTATAATACTTGTTTAAGGATACAAGTAATTAACCCATACATGGGGAGAAAAGCGTTGGATTCTTTCTTAATGATATTTGCGCGCAAGTGAATATAAAGAACACAACTGGAATCGGAACTTGACTTTCGATTTCCAAGTCCAAGCCGTTATCCATTACACCACCCGCACATCCAAGTCTACAGCAACTAGTATCCCCAAGTGGTCACTGCTATAGTTAATAGACTCTCCCACCTAATATAAGTAGGAGTAGTAAGAGAAACGAAGGTCAGTCGATGTCGGACGACAGTCGAACTCTCTGCCTTCGGGCAGAGAGAAACCTGAATGAGGCTATGCCGAAGGGCAGAGTTTCGTCCGGGGAGGTAGACAGACCCGATCCCGTTTATGCGGTGTCTACGGGGATTTTTTTGGCTGAGCCTACAGGCTCGGGAACCCCACATTAAATTCGGCCTTGTGCCACATGTGACTGCGTGGGGCATTACTAAATAGCGCCGATGTCGGACGACAGTAGTCGACAGTTAGTCGAATACGAAAGTAGTCAGCGACCACAAGATTACTCTGCGTAATACCTATTATATCAAGTTCCTAACGTTTTGTACGTCGAACTATTTAGGACCGATTTAGTACAAATACAAGCCTCCACTGCGAAATAACTCCACAACAGTCACCCATCTAGATACTGACAGTTTTGATGTTGCTTAACTTCGGCGATCGGATGAGAACCGGTGTTTCCACGTGATATGTCTGTAAGCCCAAATACAGTCGAGGTGCCACGTTATGGAAGAATAGTTAACAAGCTCTTCTGGAAGACGAGAGCACCAGATTTATGGATGGAGGTATCGGACTGAGGTTAATGCTTAACAAGTTTGTCTAGCAGAACATTACTATTTTAGTAAGCTGATCCTGACAGAAAACTTGATGTTTGTAGTTTTGTACCATACTAAGCCAAGCTTTCTAATTAACTGTAGCTGGCCACGTCGCTACGGTGTTATCATTACCAAGCTAGTTCTGTAAGAAGTTACTTATGTTGTTTTTTTTTTTTTTGTACTAAGCTTAGCTTTATAAATAACAATATGAAAAAAAAATCAATCACATTTTTTTTACATCTCATTAACTATTGATTACTCACAGTTTTTTTTCCTTTTAATATGTATTGTTTGTGGCCTAAACTTACCTGACGGGCAAAACTTTACAAATACTAGAATGCATATATCAATAAAAACTCTCAGAGGGAACAGTCGGTTCGAACGGAAAAGGAAATAATGTCTAACTTTGAAAACAATCGACTGTTAGCTGTTAATCGGGCGAGGGAAAAAAGTTCAATACAAAAATATAAACATAAAAGTTGGTCGCCATTTTTCCCCGATAATTATTGTCTGCTTAATAAGACCAACTGTTGTCATGTCCCTAGTCACTTATAACAATCGTAAGCTGATTTTATCTAGATAAGTATATGAAAATATTGGGTATCCGGTCAATAATCATACATTTTTTTTTCTTTTAAATGTGAAATAATAGCAATATTTGGTTGAATAGAAGCGTATAAACAAAATATCAAATATGACAGTGCCAGGCGTTCATGGAAACTGAGGAATAGTAGGATATGGTTATATTTCAGCTTCAGCGATCTTTAACTATTATAGTTTAGGCGGAGCAGCTGTATTAATGAAGATAGGCTTCTCGTGAAAAAAAAAACGGATGAGAATTTGATATCCTTTTTTAAATATTTAATACACACAGATTGATAATTATGGCCTGAGTAGTTGCAAATGTAATTAAAATGAAAATATTACTAGGAAAAAATTATTATTATTGTTTTATTTCCTTTGGTATCTGGTGTATACTCATTTCTTTCCGGGTCCCGACCAGAGACCTAAGGTCAGAAATCGCATCATGGCATGTTTCACTGAGCAGTTTTGAAAAAATCTCGCACATATTTTACCTAGATAAAGCCTTTCGCAAGGTGTGGGCTGTACTTGTGAGTACAATTTTTGTATTTCTTTAAGGGATTCCCTCAATGAGTCTACTGGAATCTTTTTCCAATCAATCCGAGGGCGCCAAATTCAACTGGAATTTTTAATGTCTTCGTGCGCCACATTTTTGAGATTTGGATTCCAAGGTCCTTGTATTTTGATAGTTTTTGGAAGATCTTCACAGATATATTACAGTCTGAAAGTCTTTGCGGTCTCTAATCATGTTATCAGAGCGATTAGTTTTGATTGTTCTGTCTGTGTGTATTGTAAAGTCTCATAAAATTGCTACGGATCCTGTCACTGTAACCGAGTCTGAGTGGTGTTCATACCAATTTCTTGTAGTTTCCTTTCTCTAAGTGTTACAGATTTTCCAGTGTAGATATTGGCCCACTCAGTCGTTTTATATTCAATCGGTGCCAATACCGCGCAAACACATTTCCTTCCGGGTCCCAATCAGAGACCTAAGTTCGGAAATGGCATCATGATATATTCCACTGATCATTTTTGTAAAAAATGAAGAAAAAACAACTTAATATCACACACAATTTACATAGATAAGGCTCTTCATAATGTGTGAGCTGTTGTTATGAGTACAATTTTTTTGTATTCCTTTAAGGCATGGGCTACCCGGAATCCCTTCAATGAGTCTATCAGAAATTATTATTATTATTATTATTATTATTATTATTATTATTTGTGTATGTTATGTTTCCTGCTTTGTATCCTGTTGAGCCGGGCCCAAACTATAGTTCCTAGGCCCTATAAGAAAATTGTTATTTAATTGATAGCACTTTTCTTTGTATATAGGATGTTCCTCTTAGGGCGATCTTCTGGGCAACTTCTATGTGGGTGTTACCTGGGACACTGTTAGTAAAATTGCCCATTCCTTTTCTCACGAGGCCCAGAGGTTCGATTACTATCTATACAGTTAATCTCGATCTCCAGGTCCTGGGATATGGATAATTTCTCGATAATTTTCATGTTTCTCTCAGATGATACTGTATGTCAATAAGCATACACTTCTTGAATTTCTTGTCTTTTATGATAATATCAAATCTGTTGGCTTTTATTCCCCTGTCAGTTTGAATTGGCATGTCCCAGAGGATAGTTACAACGTTATTTTGGGTAACTGTGTCTGGTTAGTGGTCGTACCATCTCTCAATGGTTTCGATTTTGTGCTTCTTGCATATCTTCCCGTGCACATCTGTCGCTACATTTTTATGTCTGTGGGCATCTTCATTTTTTTGTTAGTTCTGGATATCCAATGGACGACAGTTTCATCATACTTTCTGCAGATCCTGCATTTCGGGTTAGTTCCCTCCTTGATTATGTGACTTTGATAGGATCTGGTTGCGAGGTCCTGAGCTGTAATAATTAGGCATTCTGTCTCACTCCTCAGCTACTGGTGCGTTTTCCGTTGGTCCACGTCTGTTTCTTTCTTCTTTTTTTTTTTAGGTATTTGCCATGCAACGGCATTCTCCCAGTGTTTTTGTAATTCCATTTGGCCAAATTGTTTCTCTTTCTGTTTTAATCGTTTAGTGTAGATGGTATTCGATTCGTTTTTTTTGTTTTTTTGTTTTTTTGCTTTTTAGTATTTCAGGTATACTAAGCTGTTTCTTGAAGAGTGCAGCTTCTTTGTTGATGTAGAGAATTTGGTGTTTTACTATTTGTATGAGATGGCCATTGGTTTTTGTAGGTACGCTTCCAATCCGATTGTTGTAGTTTTTAGGGTTAGTTCAAGTTAGATTAGACCTCGGCCTCATAAAGCTCTTGGCACGTACAACCTATCAACATCTGATTTCGGGTGGTACATCCTCATTTGAGTCAGTGTTTTTATAGATATTAAACATTTTTGGGGATGGACAATTATGTTGTAACACGATCTGGACAACTTTGCTGTTACACCCGGTAATCCGTACGGGTAAACCTAAGGAGGATAAAATCCAGAGAGCTCAATGTAAATCCAGAGCAAATAATTTAAATAAAAACAGACCACTTTAATGTTCCATGTAATAAATTATTTCACCATAGCCCTTTTAAAAGTACTTTACACCCCCCTCCCCCCAAAAAACAAAAAAAATCTTTTTTTTTTTTTTTTGTTTGGAAGTAAAATCTTATGATCCACAATCCTTTTAAAAGGGCTGTGATGAAATAATTTATTACATGGAACCTTAAAAAGTGGTCTGTTTTTATTTAAATTATATATATATATATATATATATATATATATATATATATATATATATATATATAAATAAATGTTTGTGCATTCTGATACCAATCCCACTCTTATACGCGTTTCATTAACCATGACTGGCACGGAGAGATTCGGGTTAGTTCTTTGGTTGTGTTTTTCTTGTATACCAAAAAGAGATTCCTTTTTGTGTCATAATGTACGTAGAAATTTCGGATAATCTTATTATATGTTTTCAAAGATTTTAGTTGTTCAGTTACAGTTGGTGTGAGACTTAATATGGCTAACATCATTAAAGATGGCTAATGGATTAATTGTAAGCGCTTTGATCACCCCATCATTTGGGCAAATTCTACACATACTAAACCAAAATGAAATCTGTTGTTCGCACATAAGAACATAACAAACAAAATCTAAACGATGTTCCTTGTCAGTCAGTTTTAATGAAACACACGCACACACACACACGTACACACACATACACACACACACATACATATTCATATTCGTTATAGAATGCTCATAGAGCAATCACTTATTTCTGATGTCGTTACACACACGCACACACACACATAAACACACACACATATATATATATAATGTAAGCTGCAGGAAGGATGTAAGTGATTTTAATAACAGGCTGCAGCCAAACACAAAAATACACGTACACAAATATACTTCTATAACATAAACATCGAAATACGTTCATATTACAATGCTAAAACCACATTTATATCCATTCTTCAACTATAAATATACAAGGAAAATATGCTCACAAGATGTGAGCCGACATCATCTGTAAATAAATTTACCTCTCGGCGCAGAAGAGTTAAGTACTTCCGGACAAATAGGTGCCCTAACCGGACGATGGCGACCTCTCGTCGATTATAGAACATTTGCACATATGTGCACAGGAGTTCATTTACACAGATGCGACTTACATTCATGTGTTCGTCTATCAATCTTTATTCCAATATCATTCATGCGAAGTAACTTTCGTAAGGATACATTTTGTTTCAATGTTTCAGGCGCAAATATGCAAGACAGACGTTGAGCAAATATTTCCCAGAAAACAAAAAACAACCAATTTGTCACCAAACAACAATGGAGAACATATTTCTCATCCGTCTTTTGACTTCGTGTTTATCGTTTCTTTCTTTCACACAGTTTACCACCATTTTTGTTATACTTTTTTCTTTATTTTTGAACCTTTCAATTTTACCCTTTTAAATTTATTTATCTATTTATTTATTTATTTATTTGTTACTATTATCCTTTCTAATGTTCTTTTCCTTTTCTTCTTACTATTTCGTAACCCGAGACACGCGTGTTGTTTTGTATTTGTTTGTTTGTTTGTTAGTTTCTTTCTTTCTTTCTTTCTTTCTTTCTTTTGCTTGCTTCGCATTCATATTTCTACTCACTCTTTATTTTTTTATGTTTACACACTTTCCTTCTTTGTTTTCTTTCTATATTCCTTTGTTTTCTTTCTATCTATATTTATTTACTTATTCATTTACACTCATAATTCTGATCACTCCTTTTTTTCTTTTTTTACAGACTTTCTAACCACCGTTTCTTTTTCTTTTTTCTTACATTCATAATTCAACACACTCTTTCTTTCTTTCTTTCTTTCTTTCTTTCTTTTATTTAACTTTAAAAACATTTTAACAGCTGTTTCTCTCTTCTGTTTTCGCATTCATATTTCTACAAAATCTTTCTTTTCTCTCTCTCTCTCTCTCTCTCTCTCTCTCCTTTTCTAGCCACCGTTTCTTTCTATTGGGTTGGTGCATAATTATCAGTCGTTTTTAAATAACATTTATTATGAAAAAAGAAACATAACAATTCCACAATAACATTTTTAAAGGATTATTCCGGGTTGTATGATTATCGACACGCATTTTTATAACCTGAAAAATAAAATAATATTTTTATTTAAAAAACAAAACAAAACAGCAATTTTTATTAACAAATAACTCGCCTACAAAAACGTCTGATAATTATGCACCAACCCAATATTTTTTTCTTTCTTACTTTCTTTCTTTCTTTCTTTCTTTCTTTCTTTCTTTCTTTCTTTCTTTCTTTCTTTCTTCTCACTCACATTTCTACCCGCGTATACTTTCTTTTCTCACTTTTCCAAATTCTCTAACTGCTTGTTTCTTTCTTTCTTTATTCCCACATATATTTCTACCCATTTTTTCTTTTCGCACATTTTTTTAACTACAGCACCCTCTCCTTTCTCTCTTTCTTCTCAATCCAATTTCTACTCACGTATTCTCTCTTTTTTTTCTCTCTCTCTCTTTTCCAGTCTCTGACTGTCTTTTCTCTCTTCTTTCTTTGTACATTTTCCTTTTTAACTATTACTATCTTTCTTCCTTGATTCAATGTTCACTTCAACTCCATATTATCATCCTTTGTCCTATTTACCTTTCTTCTTTTTATTCATATCCTTTCATCGTTTTTTTTTCCCAGGATAAGAGCATAGACTCAAAATATCAAGCTCTACAGCTGTCACCAAGACCAAACGAGAAAAACTGAAATTCATAACATGTGCACCATTTCTTAACTCTGCAAGAATTAAACTCATTCGCAGATATTCAAATAAATTATAATATTTGCACATGGCTTCACTATCCATTGCCAGTTATGACAGATTATGGCTAATAAAATAGCGTTGTTAGATACTTGAAAATCTTTATCAAATGAGCCACTGCCTTATCTGGAGACACTGATCTGCATAGATCAGTTGGCGTTATCAAATCAACCCAAGACGGAATATGAACCCAGGAAATGGATCTGGTTTGTTTATTTCCCCAGTCAACGATCGAATCTTAGCGTAAACTTCTCAGATGTCTACCAGACGACAACAGGGAGTCAGGAAGACTTGAAGGCGATTATCTACTTAGAGGAAAATACACGACTCCTTAAGAACCATATATATATATATATATATATATCAACAAGTATTTTGCTGTATATATATATATATATATATATATATATATATATATATATATATATATAGCAAAATACTTGTTGACAACACCAATATACTACACCACGAAAATAATAAAGAAAAACTTCAAATTCTCGAGGCCCTCTATGTCAAAATCAAGTAACCAACACAACAAATTTTATTACAATTATAGCAACAACATATTAAAGTGCATTAAACATTTATATAATGCCTTTTGATATTTCTACCAATTTCTGGCCATCTCCTTTATATTGAAATGCTTGTTTTGTAAAAATTCCCTATTTACTACTGATAAAATTTTAAAATTTTTAAATAACATTAACAGAGCACATTCGCATATGTTTTTAAAAACTGAATGCAGATTTTATTTCAGTTACAATAGTATTTTTGTCTTTGTAATTTACCGCTTAAATTATCTTAGAAAAGATAGAAAATACTTGTGTTAAAAAAACTATGGCACCCTCCATGATGGATATCATTTCAACATCAGGAAACTGATTAGACCACTGGAAAGAATCGGTATAAAAATAAGTAGACACAATATGTCTTTGACAGAAAAACACAATTCACACATAGTTAGAGATAACAAATTAAAAGCAAATTTATACAATTATTAGAAAACATATATCTCTAACTAAACATCAATTTTTGTCTAGCTAAGCCACATACACGTCGCACTCTACTCAAAACAAATTTTAAAATATACCAGAGTGCTGGCCATTATCGACGCGACTCTCTCTTGCCACAGATGTCTACAACTACGTTCGTCGTGTTTCCTTTATATAGGTTATAAGAGACAAGAGGACTGACAGAGAGTAGAGTGAAGAGAGGGACTTCACACACCCACGTTACCCATAAGTGCTACCCGGAGCACGGCTGACTGCCCGTCCGACCATTAAGCTGTGAAAACGACATCATGTGAACACAGAAAGAGACACGGACAAGCCTAAAACCGATAGCCAGCAGCAGGCAGCCGGTTGAGCATACTCCTTTATCACGTTCTTTATCTAAAACCTCGTACACCGTACATTCGAACGCTATACTATACGACTTACCAGAGATATTTTTCACGTCATGTAAATAAAAATAAATCCTGGGTCATTTCTCCAAATCAGTGTTCGTTTCTTTACTCCAACCAACTTCCACCTTGGATCATGTCGATATTATTCAACAAATCATGTTTAAATGAAGATCTGAACACACACACACACACACACACACACACACACACACACACACACACACACACACAGAGAGTTTATTGCTAGCAGCAAGCAGAAATATTTCTTCTCCCGATGATGGCCATTTTGGCCGAAACTAGTCGAGGAATCTAAATGAAATAATAATAAAAAAAAACGAAAGAATATTAATCTACAACCCAATGTGTCTGAAGATTTTAATTTTTTAATATTTTTTATTGTTCAATATATATATATATATATTCAGCTGTATGGATATGAATTTGTGACCCTGGGTTTCACGCTTTTGTGATCGCCAGGCAAATATTTCAACCTAATGGTAACGTTTCTTATCCCTTCTTCAAAATAAATTCCTCAGTCAGCTGCTGGATAGTCACTTGTTATCTCACTTCCAAGAAACTAATTCGCCGTGTTTTTAAAGGTGGGGTTTGAACATCTCATTTCATTTCACACGTGACTAAAATTTATTAAATGTGTACATATACTGAAAGCTGACTTTACAACGAGTATGAATTGTAAAAAGTAAAGTAGGTATTTTGACAGTACAGGAAATGTAGAAGTAACCACTTCATGTACCCGTGAGTCGTTGGTGGACATCCTCCTATAACGAGTGCGCAGCCATCATGTCTGGTGGGCGTATAAAGAAATAACAAGTTCATACCGAACCGACAGAAACATATTTAATATAACATTTTTTTGCTTTTATAATTATTATACTATTTTTTTCATATGAACAATCTTCCTGGGTATGACGATAAAGTACATCCGGCAGTAAAAGAAGAAATCAAATAATAACTAATAACCACAATGGATAGGAAGTTGTGGATGAGCCATAATATCTATCCTGATGATGACGGAAGAAAGCCGAAAGCTTGAACCATATTTATTGTATTTTTCCCCCGAAATGAACTTCGGATAATTTATAACAAAATTTTCTTCTTTTTTGAGAAGGATTATTTGGAATTTGGAAAAGTTGATCATTAAAATTAATCAACACAAAATGTCTGTTGTCTTTAATAATATTTGCCTTAAAGAATATTTGGTGCATATATATATATATATATATATATATATATATATAACCTAAAAAACCTAAAGACAAAGCTACCTAGGTTTCACCTACGCGGATCGTCAGGGTACGCTGGCCAAAGAGGTAACATTAGAAGAGAATATAAATAGCCTACAACATAAAAACATGATCATGAGACCAAAAAAAAAAGCAGTAACAGTTACTATTTTTTTTTTTTTTTTTGTCTCATGGTCATTTTCTTTATTCTTGTAGGCTATTTATATTCTCTTCTAATGTTATCTCTTTGGCCTGCGTACCCTGACGTTCCGCGTAGGTGAAACCTAGGTAGGTTTGCCTGGCTCTTTAGGTTCGTAGTTAGATTTGCTTTACTTAGTGTATTGAGCACTTTGCTTAGTTATTTTTACTTTCCTCGTGTCGGAGGTTTTTTTTCTTTGGACTCTGAGCTTGGATTCTGGTCGAATGTTTTCGCCTGAATTACATGTTCTTAGTTCTTTCTTTTTTTTTTATTCCTTATTTTTCCTTGGGTATTGGTTTGTTCATTTACAAGACAAAACACCTAAGGTTTTTTCGGACAAGTATACTTACTTATATTTATAAGATTATATATATATATATATATATATATATATATATATATATATATATATATATATATATGTATATAATTGTTGTCTACCTTTAAAGGGTCTTTGTCATTCCAAGAGTTATTCAGACAAATGAATTCATTCTTTGGTATATTATTTACCACGCTTGGTTTAGTTCGACCCAAGTATGGAGTACTCAGTCGTTATAGAACTCTCCTTCTCACTAGTCACGGGCAACTAGACTATTTCGCTAATGATTTCCCAACGACGAGGCGCCCAATTCATTTTTGATGCTACTTATATTGTTTCTATATAATGTGCAAGTGTGGTATTATATATGTGTGCCTTATTGACCATGTTGGTGTCTAATTCGTGTGAGATATATCCGAGAGGCCAAAGTAGACAGAATTTGAACAGCGCTCATTTTCCAAATTTAATACGGACAGGAAATCCTTGGAAAATCGCTTGAATCGTTTTTAGAGCAATTGGCCATAGTTAAGTGTAATTGGCAGGAATTCCAAACAAGCAGCATTGACAAAATTTCCGATAAACAATAAGAAAAGAAAGGCAAAAATAATGCCAAGCAGACATTGTATATCTTCAAGACAAAAATAGGCAAAACATCTGTAGTAAGGCAAAAAATTCACAAAGCAAGAATGGCGTTAATACACAAAAGGGATACAGACAAGTAATTGTAATTTCCTGATTTAAAAACTTGAAAAAGAACAGAAGTATGACGGATGAGACCGAGAAGTGGTCTGTCTTACTGGATATATACCTATATATGCGTCCAAACAGATTACTTCGAAAGAGGTGGTGAAAACTAGGTTTTTAATTTTCTATTGAATTTTCGGTAGAGTCTTGTATGGTAGTACCTTGTGTTGGGTGAGTGCACGTGTGTGTGGTGGGGTAATAGGCGAATTAATTTTTTCTTCTGTAATCGGCAAGATCACGGAGATAATAAATGAAATATACGACAGTGACGTCCTACTGAAAGAATTTGATAGATCTATCTTCATAGAGCTACTTAAGAAACCAGTTGAAAATGAATGCGAGCTCCACTGAACAATCCGCTTTAATAAGCGATATAACCACGCTAATAATCTGAATTCTGATTAATAGAATTAGACCGAAAGCAGGACAAGAACAGTGCAGCATTGTTAAGGACATTGGAACAAGAAACGCTACATTCATGATTAGAATGAAATAGCAATAAAAATGCAAAAGAATATCCACTTACGTTTTATATATTACGCAAAATGATTTGATAAGGTACGCAACAAACATATATTTGAACATTTAGGCAAACGGGATCTACTTGGGAAGGATGTTCCAGAATCTAGAGAGAGAGAAAATCAGCTACATACGGACAGAAAAACAATTGAGTATGTACAAGTAAATAGAAAGGGGTGAAAGACAAGGATGTGTTT